TTTTAGTACTACCCTCTAGTTAGCTTTCACATTTACTCTCTCATCAAATTTGAGATTTCTTAGGCAAGTAATAAACCCTCATCATCCAAGTGAATTTTCCATGACATCTTATCCAGGTAGTATATTTGTAGCATGTTTAGGAATTAAGTCTAAGCCCATAATGCTTCGAAGGGTAACAATACATGACGGAATAAAATGAACTTACAGGYTTAGTGGCAACACCACAGCTCAAATACAGCAGCTTCAGTTGCTGCTGTTTGCTCGTGAAGACGCGGGAGAAACACAGCGAAAGTTGYTGTTTGTCTGCGGCAAGGGAAGGGGTTGACAGCACCTTCAAACCCTRYTGTTGCTTTACTGATGAACGACGACCGGGACGAAAGAAAAAGGGCACAAAATAGYTGTTTCTTGTTGYTGTCCGAARGTAGAGAACARCACAGCAAACCGCTGTTTGCTGTTTCTGGTTCTTCGCTGCTRTCYGCTGCGCGCCCGACAGCAGTCTGCTGCTRCGTCRCCGACTATTGCTTGAASAAGCAGCTRCCCGCTGCTGYTGTGGGAGCCCGAGAYGAAAACAAGAGGSTACTGCAGAGCTGYTGTCCGGCCAGACGCTGCACTGCTCCCCCTCGCTATCGCTGCTGCTRTTATGCTGTTTTGGCGAGAAAGAGACCGTAAACACAGMAAGCTGCTGCCAGGTCGCTGCYGTTATGCTGTTTTGGCGAGAAAGGAACCCGAAAACGCAACAGGCTGCTGTTAAGCCGGTGCTGCTATGCTGTTTTGCGAGAAGGAGACCGAGAACGCAGCAGACTGCTGTCGAGCCGTTGCTGTTCCGCCTTGCTGTCTGCTGCTGTTGTTCTACGGTTCAACCCCGGTAGCTCCAAGACCCTTCCCAAGGGTTATTTTCCTTTGAGACCAAGTCTTTATTCCTTCAAACTCCACGACTGCTACCCTTTCCTCCACCTTCCCCACTTCCAGCCCCTTTTTTTTCTTTTTCTTTCCACATCCCTTCCTCCTAATTCTTGACAGACAACAGCAAGGACTCCAAGGTAAGAGAATTAACCCCCCCCTTTTCTTTTCAGGGCATGGAGAGTCTACAAGGTAGGGTGGAGGACAAAAGTTAAGCTACTCCCTCTCCCTATCTTTTTTTTTTNAAATGATTCAATACTTTACCAAAGGTCCACCAAAAAGAAAAAAAAATCATTGAATTTCTAGGTATTACATGCCACCTTTAGAATCTATAAAATATCAAATCTATTTAATTATCTATTTAATTATTATTATTATTATTATTATTATTATTATTATTATTATTATTTAATATACATATATCAATTAAGTTATCTATACTACTTTATAAAACAAATTTCACAAAAGTCTTAAAAACAACCTTCACTGCATAAGTTACTACCTTTTAAAGCACAAAGTCTTAAAGTCTTGAAAACAAATCCTAATGCACATGGTACTACAAATTTATGCATAAAGTCTTAGATCATGAATGTATACTCTCCCTAAGCAATGTCTGCTCCCTAAGCAATGTCGGCTCCCAAGAAATCGATTCCGACTCCCAAAACATCGATTCCTTCTCCCAAGGCAACGATGTCGTTCATTCTTTTCAATTTCAAACAACTTGAACCAGATCCATGTTTCAGAAGAGGCGATTCACGTTTTGTCATCACGGCTTATCAAGGTACTGATTCGTTCTCGATCTCTACTTCTCTACTGGAATGATTACAATGTTAGGGTTTTCTACATTCTTCTTCGGATTTGATTATCCATCGCTCCATCTCAGGTAAGGTTTTCTGATTAGAACGTTAGGGTTCTCTACATTCTTCTCCGGATTTGATTATCCATCGCATGTTTCTAAATTGATTTCCCAGGACCCCTATTTTTATCCTTGCTTTTTAGTTGTGTTTTCTCCATTGTCTCATTGTATTTGACTTTAGATTAACTTTTAGAGATTGTTGCTTCTTGATGGAATCTCTTTGCAATGTAAATGTTTTGAACTTAGAATATGTTGTGAAGATTTGTGATTTTCTTCTGGTGCATATTTTATTATCCTGGGATTTGGGTTTGAAGACCTGTATGAAAAATTATTCAACATTGTAAGGGATTTGGGTTTCAATCCCTTTTTGAAACAATTCTTCAATATTCTTTTATTTGATGTTCCAATATCAAGACAAAGTTGCAAATCTACATGTTTTTTGTTTTAGTTAGGGTTTGCAATTGGTTGCTTATCAATTCATAAGGAATCTTAACCATGGAGAAGGTTGGGCTAATTCTAAGGTCTGACTATTGGTTGTGAAGCCACATGTTTCTCTCCATTGCTTGCAAAGTTACAGTTTAGGGTGATGTTGTTGTTAGGGAGTCGGTTGGAGGATGACAATCTTCATCTTATTATCTTGGATATGATGTTGCCGAATGTCTTATTTTTTCTCTTACACTTGGACAGATCATTCTTGATATGTATATCATTCTTTTTTCATTTTTATTGTTTATTCTTTCTATAAACAATTTATTGCATATTTATACTACCTTATAAACCTTAATCTTATCTTTCTTTGTTGGGTTGATTTAGGATCTGACGCATTATCAAAATGGAGATGTGATCGACTCAAATAAGGTTTGTAATTCACCATTTTTAATACATGAACATGCTTATTACATCAACTCTAAGTCACATGTTAATGTTTTTATTCATGCCTACACAAACATGCATCAAGGCTCAAGTTAATCTTTAATTTTCAGGGACCGACTCTTTGAACATGTGTATTGGGCTTTTGGTTGCAAATTAACCATTTTTTTGGTTAATCTTTTAGCAGAGCTGTTTGATTTCACTTATTTTGAAGAATCATCACAGTTGATTTTCATTTAACAAGTTCAGTTGATTGTTTTTTATTTGAATCTCCTTCGTATATTTATCTCCGTAAGGGATTCAAACGGCTACTTTATTCAAATTTTTGGTTCAAATGGTGATTCACTCTTTCTTCAACCTTTCTTGTCTTTGACTAATCGATTTTGAATCTTTGCTCTATTCTCTGACCTATAACACTTTCGTTTCAACCCCTCTAATAGGAACGAGAAAGAGATGATTGTTGCTTCCAAATTTCTTTGATGTTTACTCCTTTCATTTCTCAAACGACATTTAACACTTACAAACTCTAAGGTATCTTCTGTTGTTTTCTTTCCCGCTTTTTTTTTTACCTTTCTTGTGCCTTTGTAGTATTATGACGTCTTAACTTTTTTTTTATCAAAATTATTAGTTGTTTTAACTTTCAAGATCTCATATCGAAAAAACTTTGGAGCCTTTTACCAAATACTTATCCGGTAAGTGCTTACCGGTAAAATTTAACACTATGATTTACTTGGTGGGTAAGATTTTAGTCCACCAAAACGGCATCGTATGCAACAATTTACCCAGTAAGCGCTTAATCTTCAAAAACGGGAAAGTTTAAAAAATATATGAATATGTAGCAGTATTATATAGGTGTGTCCGAATTTGATTTGATTTTTTAAACTTCAAATAAGATTGTATAGTTTCTTTTGGTTAAAAGTCTCACGAAGCTGGTAAGCATAGAGTAGGTTGATTTTTTTTATATTCGTCTACAATATACCAAGTTCATCTATACTATCTTATTAAGGAGATTTAGCAAAAGTTTTAAAAACATCCAATGCATTTGGTACTACCTTATACTGCATAAAGTCTTAATGTATTTGAGTTCTTAGTGGTCTTTGGATTAGACTTTGCTAAGGTAAGTGGCATTGGCTTAATTGGAGGGGGGCGGATGGCAATAGAGGTGATGAACTCTAATTCACTGTCTTATGACATTCAGATGACGTTCTTCTGGTTACAGGCATGACCTAATAATGTCTTAATGTATGAACTCCAGTGGAATTCGTGCTTTTTGCAGGCTTAATTCACTATCTTATGCCATTCAGATGACATTCTTCTGGTTACACGTGAATAACTTGGGTTTTAAGCGATTGTTGTTTATCCAGAATGCCAAAAGCTTTACAAGCATGACCCTAATCATGGCTTAATAAGATAGCGGGTTGAAGAAGGACACTATTTCTGTAATTCATATTTACACACAGTCCACACACCGATTAGATTTCAACCACCATTGAAAACAGTTGAGGATAATTGTATAATCCTAAAGGTGGTCGTTTATGTCAAAGCCTTTGATCAATTAAAGATATGGTATTGGGTTGATCATAAAACTTGAAGTTCTGCGAAAACAAGATAAATACCGCCATGGGTTGCTCATCTCATTTTGCACTTTTGGGGCTCTAATGCACTTTCCGATAACATTTAGTGTTGTAAGTTAACAATTATAGTTGTTTTGTTATATGGCTACAGTAGCATTGCTTCTACATAAAAAATTATAAAGGTATGTCTTTGTGTGCGTATTTTTGTTGCTTGTTTCCGGTGATCCCTTTTATGCATAAGATCATTAGTATACAGTATACCGGGTTCCCTCAATTAAGTCCAAATACCCAAGCTTGACAAATAAATTTTGTTGTCATTGCCTTATTATCATTAAATTAGCCAAAATCTGTTAGAGAACAATGTGACTGATTTTTTCTCCCTCTGCAATCAGGTTGCTCAGATTCTGGCGACTTTTAGGTCTCAGGTGAACAAGAGGAGATATGAGGTAAAACTCGTTGATACATGCCTTTTAAGATAATAATACATCTTTTGTTGTAATGATGTTTTCTTGGTCTTTATTTTCACGTGAAGATTGTTCACTAGATAGAACTATGGATGAGACAAAATATGTTGATGACTACTGGTTCACCTCAACATTTTTCCTTGCATTACCCGTACAAAGTTCTTGCATACAAACAGACAATCCAAGTAATTACCATTTGTCATTGTTGTCGCTTGTAGTAGAATAGCCTCTAAATATGAACCCAACTTCTTAGTCAACACCAAATCCAAGAAGTTATGGGAACTTTCAAAGTCTCTCGGTATATGTAGAGGTTACCCTTTGACAATTCATTTAACTCACATTGTATGGAAGTGTTGATTTCCTAAAAGAGCATTTACTGAAATACATGGGTCTAGATCTTCTTGTTCCATTTCCGTTCTGATGCAATCATATTCTTCTTCCTCACTCAGAATTTCATTTATAAACATTTGTTGCTCTTTGAATCGACACTTGTGTTTTCTATCATGTGGTTGATCACAGTAATAAGATAGACCATTTGTTATTTCCTCGACTCTCACATCTATTGGAATGTATTTGAAGTTCTTAGTGGTCTTTGGATTAGACTTTGCTAAGGTAAGTGGCTTTGGCTTAATTGGAGGGGGGATGGCAATAGAGGTGGCATATTTTAATTAATAGCAGCCATGGATACTGCTTATAAATGTTTTGGTGAAAATACAATGGGCTTATTCTATTTTGGATCTGCATTAATAAACCCTAGAGATCCTTCCTGCAACCTTGTAATTTTTTTAGTCCGTGCTACTGAAGTGGGATTAAAAGCCTATACAAATGGCTTAACAGTCGACTTTAAACACATTCCACCTTTTCAGTCATGTGATTTTAACCGAAAAGACTATTGCCTAATTGTTTTCAGGTTTGCCCTTGAAAGTTTTATATCATTTGCAAAATTTATGGTATATTTGAATTGTTTTTGGTAATAATGTTCATTTTGCATTTGCTAGATCTTGTAAACTCTAGGTTTATACTTGGTTAAGCTAATACAAATATGTGGTTAACATTTTTTGGTATTGTTTCAGGACTCTTAGGAAATTGTATAATGTGGATCCAAATGACTACATGTTCTCGATTTATGGGATGAGGATCTTCAGGAGTTCTCTTCTTCCGGAAAAATGGAAACTTTTTCTACATGTGAATGATGATAGGTTAATAACAAAGACAATGAAGAAGGCATAAGTGATTTGTCTTCAAAAAAGTATATATTGAGAAGTAATTAAATATAATAGGGTTGAAGTAAGTCTGATTTTGAGTTGGATTTTGGAAGATGTATATGAGTGTAAAATTAGGTCTCATTTTAAAGACTACTCAATATATTGGATAGATACATTCTTTATGTAAAATAGGTTCCGTGTGTAAATTTGTAATTTTTCTGTAAAATAGGTTATGTGTATAATTTTGGATGGACTCATTCTTATGTTACCCAAAAAATTTATTTAAAACATCGATTTGTTCTAAAAATGAGTTTGTTATTATAGACATTCCATATGAAGATTTGTTCTATTTTTACAGGATGATTGCAAAAGCTACCAACAACACCACCGATGTGTTGGATGGATGGTTATTTGAATCTAACATAGGTATCGATGTAGTAGACTTTATAACATCTTGAAAAGATTTGATATTTTGAAATTAAATAAATTATAGTAAACATTTTATATTCCGCCGCATTGTACGGGTATACAACTAGTATTTATATAATTATATATATATATATATATATATA